GCAACTCACAGAATTCCCCCACCATCCATGCTGCCTATAAATCTCTGTAGCACCCATGGACAAAAGATATCTCCAGAGACATTTCTTGGCTATTTTTGGCAGAACAGATTAGCTGTGGCACAGTGAACAGAGGTCCTACCATGTCCCCATCGCAAGGCAATTAATAAGTGTTGTGTCCTGAGCCTGCAGAAGCAGGCTCAGGATGATGCAAGAGTCCCGGGCATTTGCAAAAGCTGCCCGGGACCAGACTGAGCGGCGCCGGCCTTGCGCGCATGCGCAAGGCGGGAAAAAACTGCCTGCTATTGGTTGGAATTGCCCGGGGATCAGAGGGTATAAATAGAGGCCTGCGTGCCTCTGCTCTTGCTGGTTGTTGACTGTAGACAGAGAATAAAGACCTGTTAGCAAAATGCATTGCTTCCTTCGCTATTATTCTCCGGACTTAACAATAAGCAAGCAATTTTCTCTCTCAGACTGGACATTGTATGCTGTACATAATTTGCAACACAGAAATTGAATGCCACTAGAGGACGGAAAGACAAGGAACAGAGGGAAGGGGAGAGGACAAAGAGAGGAAACATGTTTTTCCTCCTTTCTCTTAGGGAGGGCACAGCTACAGACAGATATCTTCACAGTTTACAGCTTTTAAAAAATACAGCAGGCAAGCAGATGCTGGAGAAACACCGCTACAGCCTATATATAGCTCTATTGTCAACCTCCCATGTTGCAAGGAAACTCTGCTTCTGCCCCAAGACAGGGGGATTTTTTTCTTAATTCAGATGGTGAACAGGATAAGACAAGGTTCCCTTCTATCTCTAGTTCTGAACTCTTATAGAAACTTTGGTTGACCGTCTTCTTCTTTCCATATGCAGAAGCAGGGCTTTTTTTCAGCCGGAACGCGGCGGAACCGCGTTCCGGCACCTTTTTCCGGGCCGGCCGCACCGGAAATAGCCCCTCCCACACCGGAAATAGCCCCTCCCAAATTTTACTTGCATTCCTGTTCTCTAAAGGGGCGGTCCTAGGGTTTGATGAGGGCGTGGCCAGGTTTGAGTTCCGCCACCTTTTCTC